AGATCTTCCGTCGCACGGAATCAATTTTTGTGCTTGCAGCGATACCCGAAAATGAGTCAAAAACAGAACCCTCGAACGCTTTAACTTGGTGCAAAAAAAATATTTATATCTGCATGGAAGACCTCTAAGATGCCGTATCAATGCTTCAAAGCCATCATATTGCTAAATGATTATCAGAAAATGTTCAACCTTGGAGGTGCATTTTGAAAAAGTGGTTATCTAACTCAAACGAAGGGCCGTGAAAGTGAACTAAAATGAAACAACGACAGCCCGACATCAGACGAAAGACTTCTCGAAAAACTCTCAAAATTCATGTGACAACCTGACACAGATGTTTTTCGTATGGATGTCATGAAAATCAGATAATCGTCAAAAAACAAACTCACACATTCAACTTTACTGAGGCTAGTTTCTTCAATCTTCAACCCTTTTGGAAACGTTACGACTGCGGAAATCAATTCAACTTGTCTGAACTACGCAAGCTCAAGGAGACATTCAACTCGGACTAAAAACCTTTGAAGGATGTCAGCGAATGGATTGACGATCGCAACCAGTTCAACAGCAGTTACGTCCCCCGTAGTAACTCCATAACAGGAACAACTATTCTCAAAAGACAGTCTCACATCTCCGCTAGTTTTGCACAGACAGTTTGTCAAAGGACATTTCGCGCTTAAACTGACAGAACAACTCTTTGGAAAAGCAAACCGACTGTCTAGACTGGATAAATACCACAAATCCGCGCCACCTGTTTCTCAATGCCAACCACCTCTTTTTCATTGCAATAATAGTGAGGCTACCCAGGAAAGAGAAATTTGACAATAAAATTTACATATTTCATCATATGTTTCTTTAAATATATAAATATATATACATCTTAAATAAATGTAATTACGTAATTACAAAATTTGTGTGTTTACGTGTAAATGATTTTCTTAAAAAGAAAACAAATTTGATTTAGGACAATTTAAAAAACGGATTCTCAGAAATTACAAAATCATTTTCCTCTGAATTTCGATGCTTTATCATCAGACCAAATCGTTTGTTTGCAGCTGAAGAACAGAATTGAACCACGGGATTGATAAATAAACAGACGAGTTACAGAAAAAACAGTAAAAATTTGCAAACTGCAAACTGGAACAGCCTTATTGAAAAACATTTAATTTTTCTCACAGAAAAATTAATGCCTGAACAAAAAAATTCTTATGTTTCATCGATAGCCAACAAAAAAAGAAAAACTTTGTGTGAATACTCCTAAAATATCAATACTCGATCTCAAAAAACAAAAATCAAGAAACAAAAATTGAGATTTAAATTTGTGTTGTTTTAAGACACTACACAAATTGACTGGTAGTTGCTTAATTGAGCTGTCGATTAAAAAATGCGACAATTCTGGAGGTTTTTATTTGGTTGAAGGGGAAAGAATTTATTTCGAAAAACATTCACTAATATCATATTGAATAAAAAAAATGAAGAAAAGTGATTTAGGTTAGCGTTAGAAAAAATTAAAACGCAGAATTTTTTTTAATAAGTTTGATTTCAGATTTTTGGATGCTTCGACAAATTGTTTTGAAGAAAGTATTGAAAAAAAAATAAAGTGAAGAAAAATTAATTTGATTAGCGTTGGACAAAACTATAACACAGAATCTTACTACACTAGGTTATCAGACTACAAAGTCAGAACAACTAACAATAATAATCAACTCTTGAAGTAACTTCACAAAAAAAACAAATCTGAAGCATTTGGGTGAACTCCATAAAATTAGCACTGCCTTCTTCAATGTTTAATTTAAAAATGTAAAACTGTATTATCCTAAATTTCTTTTTCAAACTAGATTACCCTCATAGCATAAACGTATCAAATATACACCCCCTTTGCAATCCTTTTCACTTTTTCTCTCCAAAATATTTTTTTACCTTCTTTTCCATATTCTCAGATAGTGTTTTGTATGCTGAACATAGAATAGAAAAAAAACACTCTTTAGTGAATAATTATTTCAAGCAAAAAAAAATTCAAAACAGTTCCCAAAAATTGTATCTCTGGAAAAAAAATTACAAAATTTCTGAAAAGAGCTTTTCAATTGCGTTAAAAAATTCCCTTTTAAAAAATGATCTACGTGACAATTTCTCATACGAAAGTATTAATTAATTTAGGAACTTAAAAGGTCTAATTAATCATCTGGTGAGTATAGTTTCATCCATTATTAATTTTTTGTGTAAGTTTTGCTTAACTCTTGCGCAGTGATGGCATCTCTCGATGATTCAAAACGGCAATCCTGATCGATGGTTGTCGCCGTTATATTCAAACTCTAACCGATTCAATTTTAGTTCATGCGTTGAAAAAGTCTGGCATTATTTTAATTAATCTTTTAATTTTGGTATCCAGTTCTATCAAAAACTTTTTTTTGCCAGTGTGTGCAAAAAAACTGATACACTTTGAATAAGTTGCTTAGCTCTCCAACAAAAGAAAAATCCACAGGAAAGCAAAGTTTTATAAGCACTTGATTGGTGAAAAATCAGCAATTTGCTCCCAATGTTAATTCGAAAAAATAAAAAAACGCGTTCTACCACTTCTATTTTAGTGACACTTGGAAGAAATTTGACACAAAAGTTTTTTCAATTATTGGGGTCCGACGGTGTCGCATGGTCATAGATTTTTGCAATAAAATGTAATTTCGACCCTTCTTAACTGACAATTTTCCATCTAGGAAAACCAATTGTTGTGTGAGCGCACCACAGTTCTTTTTGTTTGTGGAATTTAGAACAGTGTTATTCCCTCACAAAAATAGTGTTATTCCCTCACAAAAATAATGAGAAATTGTCAATGTTATATTCAGTTTTTCAAGTGTCTGTGCTTCCATTCCAAAACTTCTCCGTTTAATTTTTATTTTGACCATAGCGTTATCATAATAGTTTGTGTTCGGTTTGTGCTGTTTTTTTTTCTATGAAATCGATTAACTAGAAAAAGTTAAATAATGCGTTCTACCACTTCCATTTAAATGACAGTTAGAAGAAGTCTGACACAAAATTTTTTTCAGTTGTTAGCGTCCGAGGGTGTCGCATGATCATAGTTTTTTTTTTGAAATTAACTGTAATTTCGATTCTTTTTAACCGACACTTTTCCATCTAGGAGAACCAATTGCTGTGTGAGCGCACCACAGTTCTTTTTTTTGTGGAATTCCGAACAGTGTTGTTCCCTCACAAAACTACCCCCGTTTTACCCGTGATTATTTGAAGATCATTGGTTTTTAGAATAAATGAAAGTGAGACAAGAAAAGGTCCTTGTAATGAAAAACTAAAGCTTTCACTTAACGTTTCCGTTATCATTTTGTCAATTAATGTTTTTTAATCAATTCCATTTCATGAGATTTTGCCAATGTTATGTTCAGTTTTTGAATGTCTGTAATTGCGTTCCAAAATTTCTAAGTTTTTTTTCTGATCATAGCGCTATCATAATAGTTTGTGTTCGGTTTTCCGTTTACTTTTTATTCTGATCATAGCGCTATCATAATAGTTTGTGTTCGGTTTTTACTGTTTTTTTTCTATAAACTCAAAAAAAAACAATTATAAACTATTAAAGTTGAATGTAACCTAACCTTTTTTTTTCAAACAAAAATTACGGTGAAGTTTGTTTAGCTTAGCAAAGCGTTTCTTTTTTTTCAATTTCAAATTATACTGTAAGTTTCTCCGTTTTTTTTACCTTTTCCTACTCTTATGAACTCCATTTATGTCAATTTTCGTTCCACCCCTTTCGCGATTACACATCCCTCTCCCACTTTCACAACCCCCTCCTTTGCGGATAGCCCGCACCCCCACTCCCCTACATTTACGGGGAAGGGGGTTCGAACTGAGGTGGGGTTAAACGGGGGTAAGGTGAGTGGTGAAAAAATGGGGAATGACAAGCGTTGGAGTGGTAAACGTGGAGGATGTAAACATTTTTTTTTGACGATTTTTAGTTAATTGATAGTCTCGCAATGCTACATTTTTCCCTCGTTTTTTTCATCAATTTTTTTGGATCTCTCATAACCTTTGGATTTTGAAAGAGAACATATTCGTCAAAAAAAAATTTTCAAGATATTCAAAATTTTTTGATTTTAACAAAAGACCAAATGATTTGAAAAAAAAACGCAAAGATAGTTGAACCTGGGTTTTTTCAACTAGAACTTCATGCTTTCAGAGACTCATTTCTTAAATAGGTTTTCTGTGGATTTTAATGATACAAAAATAGATTTTAGTGCTATTAATTGGCAAAAATATCAAACTTTATGAAAGTTTGAGACAAAAAATAGGTTTTCTTGTAATTATATGGAGATAAAAAAGATTTCAGTCGAATTAAAAAGCGATATAATCGCTGCGTAAAAAAATCAATTTTTTCTATGTTATATCAAAAAAGGTTGCCTTGTTTTTTATCAGAAATACTTCGGTGCGGGTTAGTATGAAACTTCGCGATGAGCATTTTTCCCAATAAATTGTAAAATGAGCCCTCTTTCTCAACTCGGATAGATTTCTGTGGTCTCGAAGGAGCTAAAAAAATTTTGCCATACTTCTCACGGATCATATGTGGACCTCGTCGGTCCACACTCTTGAACCCGGCCTTGACCCGCGTATTAAGTGCATGTTTCGAAGTTTTTTTTATATTTACCAAAATTACCTCAAAATCTCATTTTAAAGAAATCATCATTATTCAAAAAAAGAATGTCAATCTTTTCATAAACGATTTTTTTGTGAGAAAACAAAACCCTCCAATTATCCTAGTTAAATTACTGTTGAAAATAGTTCTGGTATACAGGTCTCAACAATACAATTTTCCATTAGTTTAAGCTGTCATTATTATATAAAAAAAGTAATATTGATTAAAAACTATACGTTTTTTTGAAAAGAAACACAACAAAAAAGTTGTTATTAAATTGGAAACTTCAATTTGAGATGGGAAAAAGCTTTTAGTTTAATTTTCCGCAACAATCTTTTCAATTGTCATTTTCGATTTTAAATGAAAGTGAACAAACTTTTTGTCCCTTAACTTAATAGTTTGCGATTTTTTGTCAATTGCATTGAAAAACACTTTCATTATGCTTAAGTATCACAAAATCAGCGTAAACAAAAAAGACAGTAGGTAAGTCTACCTTTTAAAACTTAATTATTAGCAAATAAATAACAAGTTTTTCAAATTTCGCAAATTTATCCGCGGATATTGGTAACTGATCCCAACCTCTCCTATCAGGAGCAAATCTAGGAAAAACAACCGAGTTTTGACCCAGGAGTTTTGTCATAAAATTAGACTAACTGCCCTGCCCTCAAATTCTCGCCTTGAGTAAAAATTGGTGTTGCGCCAATGGGGTGTTGTACCCTTGGGTTGATCAAGGGTAGGTGTCAGCCCAACTTCCCTAAATTCAGTCTTCCATTCAATGCAACTAGTAAGGAATTTCTAGAGGCTATAATGGGAAAAACAATAAAATAATTTTAGGGTTTGGGTTTTAGTTGTTTAATTTTTGTGGTCAGTCAATGTTTGAAGACATATGCTGTCAGGTATGTCTATTTCTTTGAGTTAATACGCGTTTTAATAGTGCTCTAATGAAACCGCGCACTAAATCACTAAAAACAAAACAAAAAAAAACATTTTGCAGTTTTTTATGAAAGTGGTTGGAACATTACTTGCTTCTTGCACAGCAACCGGCTATTCTTGCTTATTGTTTGGTATTTCATAATTGAAAATTATTTATGCCACAGTTTTTCTCCCAGAATATACGATCAATAAAACAATGAAACAACAGTTTATGGCAATTACTATGTACGACATGAAGTATGGAGCGTCTAAGCTCAATTTGAGAGTTTTTTTCTCTGTAACTGTTCCCAACAATGAAAATGGGAAGGAACTTTGTATTCCGGTGAGTTTTAGTTGTTTCTTTTTTCTTTTTATTTTTGTTTTCCACGCAAAATCAAAGACCAAAAACAAATATTGGACTGGGTTGAGTGATATATCATGCTAGAACCCTTACAGTCGTGATTCGAACCACATTTAAAAATTTCAAAACGAATTCCCAGTGCCGAGAAGAACCTGCTTTAAGTTTTTGGTTTTTCGTCTTATTTTAAAACGCAAGCATTTAGTCTTACCTGAGTAACTGTAGTTTATTTTGAGAATTTTTGCCTTATTTAGAATCAACACTTTCAAAAATTCAACACATAAAATTTTTCTTCTGATTTTCTTTTGCGTTTTTCCAGTAATTTTTCCTCGAAAAGATAAGTAATTTTTCTTTTCAGTTTGCTTTTTTTATTATGATTGCCAAATAGACCTAGTCCCCAGGTTTTTTGTTCAGCTCTTTTTATCAAACCACGCCAAAAAAAGGGAAGGAATTTGCAATGAAATGTTGCATGTTTTAAGGATACATTCGGAACATTCTGTGCTACTTGCACAGTAACTGGCTATCCTTGTTTTTTTTTTTACAAAACCTTGAAAATATTTGTTGGGTTTTACGGCAGGAATTTGAAATAACATGTTGTATGTTTTAAGAAGACAGTCGGAACATTCTGTGCTACTTGCACAGTAACCGGCTATCCTTGTTTTTTTCTACAAAACCTTGAAAATATTTGTTGGGTTTTGTTGTCATTCCAAGTTGTCATTTTTTGAGAAATATTTTATATATTTTTCAACTTAATTTATTTTTTTTATGCATACCCGGGTTGACGTCCATAAAAAAAAATTGCTTATCATACAATTTCATATATGGCGGCTATGAAAAAAATCCTTTTCATATAATTTTCATACGAAATTCAAAAACGTTTTTAGAGAAATACTTCTGTTCTACTTCCATCTTTTGAATCTTTCTGCTCAATAAAAACACGATTTTAACTTTGGTAAAAAAAATGCTGATCATAATATTTTCTTATTGGAATTTTGTATGATAAGCATTTTGCTATAGAAAAAATAAAATCTTGAAAATTAATTTAACGATGTTTCTGCATGAATTTAAAAAAATTTATTGAAAGAATGCATTTTGACTCTCCAAAATCATGATTTTAATTTTGGTCTACAAAATGCTTATCATATAATTTTCATATATGAAAATTGTATGATATGCATTTTTTCATGAGCAAAAACACAATTTTGAGGTAAAAAAATTTTAATACCCCTCTTTTGCTTGCAAACTTGTTTTTGTGCTCAAATATACGTTTTTGCGAAAAAAAATTTTGCATGCAAAATTTGACTTTTTGTGTTTATAACGTAGTCCAGGGTGAGTTTTTCACCCAAAAAATCCAAAAACCACAAAAAAGTGTTTTTTTTTTGTAAACACGATTATGATTTTTTATTTCATTTGCTAAGATAAAAATAAATTTGTAAAAAATACAGGCCTTTTTTTCTCAACTACCAAAATTTTCAAACCAAAAAATATCTAGCCATACAAAAAGTTACATTTTTGTTATATAATTCCATGTGAAAATATAAAAATTAATGTAGGTGGCAAAAATCACCAAATGCAGTTTATCTGCGTGGTAACTGCCAGTTACACTCTGGGTTTTCTCATGACAAAAAGTCCAGGTTTAGTGTTTCGGATGAAACACAAAATTTCAAAACAAATATTTTTTTTTGGTATCTTCATATATGGAAAAAATTCTTATCATACAATTTCATTGCATGGAAAAAACGCTATCATAATATTTCACGGTATGGAAAAAATGCTTATCATGCTATTTTCATAGTATTTTTTTTTGGTCTATGAAATAGTATGATAAGCATTTTTTTCATAATATGAAACAGTATGATGAGCTTTTTTTGTCAACCCGGGTAATCACAATATTGGTGTTTTCTATCGATTTACCACTTATTGCATCGCAAAACAAAAAGTAACAATTGGTTAGATCATAAAACTATTTTTTCCTTAGCTATCAAGATTACCTTTTTTTGAAAATCAAAAACTTATGTTTAGGTATCAATAACGCAGCAGATTAAAGAAAAAATCTGTTTATACTCCAGTTATACAGGACAGTTTGATAACAATCTGATAAAAATCAAGGTGTGCCAGTTATGGATATCAACGACTCGGTTGAAGTTGACCAAGAAGCTGCCCTGGGAACGAGCCGGGTGTTTTTCCTGCCGGCGGCACTGTGTGCTGTCGCATGCATGCTGCAGCTAGTGCCACTTCTCATCGCACGTGGCCTGGATGGGAACTTCTCCGCCAAGACATTCTTCTGGGTGCAAGCGGTTGCCCAAATTCTGCAGCAGCTGGTCATTTTCAAGTTCGCCATGTGTGGAGCAACTGGTAAGAAAACAACGAACTTTTTTCATACAAAACAATTACTCTTCCATTATGAAAACTTGTGATTAAAATAACTATAATAACTATAATGTCCCGATTCCCAATAAAATAACTATAAAATAACTATAATGTCCCGATTCCCAATAAGCATCATTGACCTCAATAACTGGATGCTTAGCTTTATATTTAAGACCCTGTTGATAAATAGAGAAGCCGAACGCTGCAAGCTTATAATGTTCTAAAAAAGAAATCACTGTTAAAGTAGAACTTCAATCCGTTTTTCGTTTGTTGACCATTGTCTAACCTGAAAGCGTTGTCTGAAAACCGGAAACACAAAAACCAGTTTTTCTGGACACCCAGAGAAAGTTTCAAATAAGGTTCCGGAATGACAACTGTTACTAGAAGGGCATTAATAGGAGTTCGGAAAAAGATAAAGCAGTTAAAAGAACAAAGTGGTGGGAGGGATATTCAGACTACTTTTATTTGAAAAAAAGGTAAAATTGAGACTGCTTCTAATTTGAATCTTTTGAGTTAATACAATGCAACTACTGAGCACAGAAATAGTGATAAGCTACATCCCGACATGCAATGGCTTGAACCGAACTCTGATCGCCCCATAAAGCCAGCTCCGACCTATTTTCCTGGTTTTCTGTTCATTACTAAATCAGCTTTTTGCACCTCATTTCCCGCACATCGCTTCACTTATTCAGTCAATTTTCGACTTTTTAACTTAGCTTTTACTACAAACGTTTTGTTGCTTGGAGCTCAAATAAAGGCAATTTTTCACCTGTGATCAAAAAATTATTATGGCTTGAGTTCGGGACTAACTTGAAAACTATAATTCAAATTGGAATAACTAACGCGGGATATATTTTGTTAAATTAAAGCATAAAACGGCATATCAAATTCTCTAACTTTAACTACAGCCAGCAATTTGCTCTTATTTGTACGTTAGCACACACAAATCGTACCTCTTTACTGGTACTTTACATAGCTTTTGGCTGGATAAACTTAGGAAATAAAGTTTTTTATTTAAAGTTTCCACTTTTTTTTCGAACATTTTTTTACTTTCTAAATCAAAAGCTTGTGATCAAGGGTAGAAGACAGTCTGAACTTTCAGGGCTTTGCTGTGATATGCAAGCTGTCTGATTCGATAGAAAGCACGGAATATTTATGCTTGGGAGGGTTATTCAGTCAGTTTTCCACTTTTTAACTTAGCTTTTACTTCAAAATTTTAAGATACAGTATAAAAATTTTGCTGTTTGGAGCTCAAATGAAAGCAATTTTTCACTGGGATCATTTTTAAAAAATTATTCTGGCTTGATATCGAGACTAATTTAAAAACTACTATTCAAATTGGAATAATTAACGCGCGATTTATTTTGCTAAATTGAAGCGTAAACTGTCATATCAAATCGTCTAACTTTCATTACCGCGAGATATTTGCTCTCGTTTTACGTAAGCACATCTTTTTTGTTACTTTACATATCTTTTGGGTGGATAAACTCAGGAAATAAAAATATATTTTTTTCAAATGTATTTAAAGTTTTCACTTTTTTTGAACATTTTACAAGATTTCCTTTCTAAACCAAAAATTTGTGATCGAGGATAGAGGACAGTTGGAACATTCAAAGTTTTGCCTTGATATGCGAGCAGTTTTGTTCGATAAAAAATTCAAAACAAAACATGTTTTTTGACAAAATAAACGTTTAGTTATTTTAAGTACTCTGAAAAACAGCCAAATTACTAGTGGAATTAAAAAACGCTTATATTTGAAAAAAAAGTAAATGCATTTTCAAGTTCATTTCGAATTTATTTTAACCGAAAATTAGTTTCTTCAAAAGCCCAAACTTTTGAAAAGAGTTAACAAACAACTGTAAAATAAAGAATTTTTTTTAATATCTATTAACTATTTGACGATTATCTAAAACTTAAGTTTACAAATTGAAGCCATATGAAAAATCTCATTCATTTTATTAAAAATTTGATTTCTGTTTGGCGCCATTGCTCGTTTCGTTTCTAGTTGGCCAAAAATTAGACAATTTGTTTCAGTAACCAAGTAATCACTATACCCCTAAAACTGAATGGGGGAGATATCATTCACCTTGTCCTAATTTTTTGCATATTTGCCGCTTTCTGCATCAGGTTGAATAAACATCAGTCTTTTCAACCTGATGCACAAAATGACAAATATGCAAAAATTAGGATAAGGTCAATGATCTCTCCTCCATTCAGTTTTTGGGTTATAAAGATCACTTTGTTACTGAAATCAATTGTCTTTTTTCGCGAACTATAAACAAGCAGTTGCGCAAAACAGGAAGCAAAACTTTAACAAATTGAATGAGAATTTTCATAAGGCCTAAATTTGTTAATTAAATTTTTGAAAAAAAACTTATTTGACACGAAAGCCGAGATTGTATCTTTTTGATCTTTGACACGAAATATTTGACCTGTTTATCCTGCTACAGAACAATTAGGCATACGTTGGATTTTAAAAAACGCGAGGCAACTAAATTGTTCATCTAAACCTCCCAAATAGGAACCAATTATAACATCTTCATCTTGGAAGGGAAAAAATGATATTGGTTCGTGCTCCGCTTTTTTGCTATGTATCGAAGTGGAATAAAAAGATTGCTCATTTTTTGATTACATATTAAAAGTTTTAAGATAAAACTATTATTGCAAGGCAAGTTTGTGTAAATAATAAACAAAAAAATTTTGTTTTGCTTTACGAAGTCAAAAAGACTTGGAAAAAACTAAGCTAGAAAAACTGGCAGGAAAAAACTAAATGATTCATATCTCGTTGCGATGAATCAATATCTGCAACTGAGCACTACTATGTCCGAGTCATTCAGAAGAACGCCCATAGTTCCAGTTTGAGTTTGCTTTTTCTCTCATTCTTGTTTCAGCTCCAATCATACATGAGACCCAAAGAACAGTGACTGAAAAGAAACCGAGAAACATATCATAGCTCGAAAATCTCTTATCAATTTGATTTCTTCGATAAATCTGCCTGCTGTGGTTACATTTGTGTTTCAATTTTCCATTTGGGAAATTTTTTGATGCAAAAAGCGGTCACATAAACAGAAGTCATGATAGATGGCGATTTATCATGATAGATGGCATGAAATGATAAATCAGACTTGAACCCTCTATCGATAATTTAATCTGCATTTTGTAATAATAAAAAAAAACTTCATGTCGCTGAGAATTATCGATTGTATTTTTGACTCCGTAAATTTGACTCATGCACAGTTTGACTAGTATGTCCCAATCCATCTTCAGCTGTGCAATGATCAACACAATTTTTCCGTGCCTAAGTTTGAAGGTAAATAGAAGCTGACCTCTCTAAAAGTAAAATGAGAAAACTTTAAAAAAGACTAAAAAAAACTTCGGCTTCTTTGTTTTTGCGTTTGAACTGTGAAACTGTGACAGGAACATCATCCGGCTTCTTTTGCTGTTCCGAACACTTCTTAAGGAGAATAGATACACTCTATGATTAGCCTCAGCTGGACATTTTTGCGACGTAATTTAGGCCAATTTTTCGATAAGAAGCAGGGGAGAGTGTTTATGTATCATCTCATTGATTCTCTTTCAAGTTCCAACCCAAAATTACAAAGTTCAGTTTCGAGTAACAGTGGTCGCAGGTTTTGGCTCTTCAGACTAAATTACCACAAGAAGTTGAGTGAATAACGAAAAAAAACGGACAGATGAATTTTGTTCGAGCGTTTCATAATTAATTGCTGATTAAACTATTCATGCGGCTACTGACAACTCTTCATGTTGATTTTTGAGGGTATGTATTTTTTAGGAGGTTTCATGTGCTTTGGATCCGCCAGTGACATCCATTGCAAAGTCTCGCTCTACCTGGCCGGTGTCTTCACGTACCTACCGGACTGGCTCGCTGTCCCCCTTTCAGTGGATCGCCTGGTTGCGATCCAGTTTCCCATCACCTACAAACAGAAAGCAACTCAGAGAAGTGCCTGGGTTGCAATCATACCTCTGGTTGTCATTACGCTGGCGCTGTTCATGCCGAAGTCGCTCGAAGCGCATGTCGGCCGGAAGAACGACTGCGACTCGGATCTCGGAAGCTTCGACACGTTTCTGAGTCTGTCGGGGGTGGGGGCAATTGCCTCGGTGATCATCTTCACGTCAGCTCTTCTGGCTGTAATAGCGATGAAGAAAAACCAAAAAAGGGGAGATTCGAGAAAACAGCGCGAGGTAGTGGTATAGAAAGAAAACTATTTTTTTAAAATGCTTCTACCATCGGTTCTTTAGGTATCATGGGTGGTTTTTGACCCTTTTTGACTAGCAATTTATAAATCCAACCACCCCTTCACCAAAAAAAATTCCCCATTTCATTCTTCTATTTACAAAATCTAGTAACAGAAGAGTAGAAGAGAACCAATTGACAGAAAAATTCAGAAAACTAAATAATCCAATCAGATCCAGTCGTCAAAGACTTTTGACAGACTCTGTAGGCGTTTCTTGACTGATTGGAAGTTTTCTCCACCTCGGCTTTCTGCTATCACAGTGGTATCCGAGGTTGATTTACCTGAACGCTTTAAAATAGCACTAAAAAGATTTACCAAAAACGGTCTACCAAAAAATTACCATTTCGAATTCAAAGCGCTTTTAAAAATTCATGCGCTTTCAAAATGCTGGAAACTGCTTATAAGAAAAAAGTTTACAGGGCTTGATCATTCGCACAATTAGATACGGATTAGAAAAGGGGACAGAAGTGGTTTGGAATTTATGATTCGTAAACATGGGAAAGTTCGGAAGGTCAATTGATGAGACCTAAAAAAAAGCTTGAAATTATTGGTTTTTCTTTCTTTCAGGCAACTACAGCCCTCGTCACAATTTCGGTCGTTTCGGGTTTGTTCGGCAGCATTCACTACGCACTATTGATGATCGGATTCTTCCGGCGCGACTCGGGCCCACCCGAACAGATGCTGATGCTTCTCGGCTTGGCACAGCTCGTCAATTCTGTCGGCATCATCATCCGAAGTCCTGTACTTCTGATCATGCAAACTATGCGGGGGGCATTTTTGCGAGGCGTGGGATTCAATTGAATAGCTATGCTAAAAACAGCATGCAGCAGAACTACTAGACTTTCTGTCCTGTTTACTGAGAAGACCATTGAAGTATAATTACTGCCACACCATTATTAACAAATTTATGGTCCATCGCATTACAGTTTTGAAATTAGTCGTGCTTTTTAAATAAGACGTGATCCGAGAATATTTTGAAGTTTAGATTGGCAATTGCACTGCATCGCTCTTGTGGAAAAGAAGCGATTTAGATAAGTCACTCTATTGTTTTCTATAATAGACGGTGACTTTCAGGGGAGGATTTACGGGGAGCGGGGATGGGATGGCGGACGCCCCCTCTCCCAGGGATTCCACCCCTTGCCGACCCAAAGGGTCCCCCATTTGTACTATTTTGAAACATCCATTTTTAGTGACGGACCCTGAAAATTTTCGTAAAGCGCCGTTGGCGCCAATTTATACTTATTTCGAGGGGGAGCGCGCGCCGAAAAAACGCGATTTTCTGGTCATAATTTTCCAAAAATGGTTAAAAACGCCATTTTGGCCTGTTTTTTTCCGAAACATTGCCTGTGGCGCAGAAAGTTTAGCCAAAACAAGGGCTCTTAAGTGCTATGGGAGATCTCGAAAAATCAGTTTGTTCTACCTAAAAAAAAGGTCGACAAAAACTTCGAGAAAATCCTATATATACTCCTGGTGACTTTAACTCTTTATAGAATTTGAATGATTTGAATTAAATTATTTGGTTGCATGTGGAATTAAATGTTTTGTTGATATTTTGACAGATTCCATATGATAGTTGAAGTCGCCTAAGATAGATGTGAATTGTCAGACTGGCAGATAACACTGGGCCTCATTTTCCAGTTGCAAAAAAAATTAAGAAAAAAGGGATGAGGTGGTTCCTACTTTAAAAAATTAAAAGCGCTGGCGTTGTGTCGTAAAAGTAGCAGATAACAGCTTTTGCTAGTGTTATCAAAATTTCCTAAATTTATGTTTTCTTATGACCCATTGTTGAAAAAATACCCAAGATAACTAAGTTGATTTTAAAATAAAGCTGCGTTCAGAATCAGATTGAACAAAAAAAAGCTGTAACCTCAAATCATTTTTCTAAAACTTTTACAATTCTTCCTAATTAAGGAGAGAGCTTATTTTACCCACTATGTACTCAAAAGGCACACCTATTTTGTTCTTGTAACGACATCCATTTTTGGCCGACCGCCCTTAAAATTTTTCTACGGGCGCCAATATCTACGTTTTTCTGAATGGACTTTAGCTTACGAAAATGGCCTATCTTGTAAGATCTCAACTGGGTATCTTGTAAGAGCTTAAAATGGACTTATCGGACAATTTATCCATAGAAAAAAAAAGAATCGTATGAAAATGGTTTGATTAGCATTATTTCTTTTCAATGGAATTGTACGATAACAAATTCTTCTATTCAATGGAATTTCATGATAAACATTTTTCCGTTCAATGGAAATGTAAGGTAAAACTTTTTCACCGGAAAAACTTGCATTAAAAATCATTTTACGACTATAATAGTGCATAACAAAGAAAATGAATGAGGCGTGACTCTTTTTGTTTTCCGCTAACATCACTACCAGAACATGCACGATTAGTGCAATTGACGACTATCTTGTAAGACTAAGAACCTTTCAAGAACTTACAAGTTAATTTGGTTGGAAAACTGGTGGTGTATCTCGTAAGATCTTGTAACAATCTCGCAAAATATTCCACCACAAACAAAATCTTACAAGATAGATCATTTCTGCAAGAACCTTACAGGATCTTTTAAGATTGGTCAGCTTCGTAAAACAGAGGAGAGCAATCTACATTTTTTCGAAAATATTTTTTTACGATTGCCAAGATTGGTCTGAATAAAAAAGCCGCCTCAAACATAAATTTTTCGCTACTTTCATCATCAAAAGTGGGAGAGCAACAGTTTTTCATAGAGACTAAAAACACCTCGAATAATGTTTTTTTTCTAGCATCAATAAAATTTTTTGGTCTGTGTTTTTTGAAACCGTTTTCTGGTGTTTTTTCGCTAGATTTTTGTTCCAGTTTCTTAAGCAATTATCAAGACGCAATTGACTATCTAGACGTGAAATGTTAAAATTGTCAATTGGCATTTCACCAAAATGATTGTTACGGAAAATGTAGATTAAAAACTGTCCCAACTACGAAGTGGTATAAAAACGAGATGATCTTTTTTAGCAATTTTTTTTTCATTAACTAGTGTAAGTATTGAAGAAGGGTTAGTTTTTTTCAAGTTCTCTGTGTTTTTTTCCGAAACAACCGTTGTCGATTATGTCTAATTTACTACTTGTTTGCGCTCTATGAGTTCTTTCATGGCAACAGGTACAAAAAAAAAACGTTTTTTGTATTTGAAAGGAAAGAAACGTTTTTTTTTTTGTAATTTTTCTTATGAATGCTCGAAAAAGTTTGCTCAGAAACCGGTAACCCGGGATATGCTGATTAAGCTATACTCCTTTTAACAATAGCAAATGAAATAGATCCTCACATTTTAACCCTACTTGTTGGGCGCTTTTTTCGAAACTATGCATAAAAAGATACGATTATAAATGTGTTTATCGGCTAAGTTTCTCCCCAAATTAATTTTATCCAAAAAATTGAAACTTTTTAACCAGTTATTTATGCAAAATGTTAACTGATTATTCTTAAAGCTGTGTCAGCATTTATTTAAAAAATATTTTGTGATAGTTTTGAAGAAAGTAACAAATGATTACGCTCCGGGCTGTTATTATTCGCACTAACTAGTTTCGAATCTTGTTGATTGAAGATCTATCGTATGAGTGTTGAGTGAAAGTTGAATGAGTGATATATCATATTAACGCCCCTTACAGTCGTAATTTGAATGATATTTTAAAATCTTGAAAAAATATCCCACTGTCGAGAAAATCGGTATAAAAATTTTGGCTTTTCGTCTTATTTCGAGCGAATAAAGCGAGCGAAAAGGCTTACAATAGCTTATTTTAATGGCTTAAAAGCTTATAATATCTTAGTTCTTTTAGTAGTTTAGCGCCTTTTTGGAATCAAAAGCTTCGAAAATTTAAAAAACCAAAAAAAGTGAAATAATTTTTGAATTTTTTTTTTTCGTTTTTCTAGTCAATATTCTACAGAAAATAAATGTTTTTCAATTTGTTTTTTTTTACTATGACTGACTTGCGATCCGTTTTCTTCGAGTTATGGGGATGTGAATTTTGCCAATTAGGGACTAATTCGGATGAAATATGGTTGTAAAATTAAAGCAAAAGACAATTTTCAATAAACATGGAACTTGGCGCCATCTGCTACACTAACGGGTTGTTTTTGTGCCCCCATTTTATTAACTACAAAGTGTAAAAGTATTATGGTTTGTTTATTTAACCTCTGATCTTAACTTACCATCGACCTTTAAGTTGTTAATTTATATACCTGCCAAAAGCGCAACGGCTTTTGGTAGACTCTGAATTGGACACTATCTTTTATGATACGTAACAAATCAATCGCAACCAATTCAATCTTTTAAACCTCTCTTAACATAGATAAAATCCCCGTCTTTTATTTAGTCTTAAATAAAAGCCTACACTTTAGTAGGAATCTTAATCATCCACAGTCTTAATCTATTCTTAGTTTAAGTCACTCTTTGAAAACACGAGTGGTATCCTAATTTTTTAACATGGCGCTGTCTAATGAATCAAACCTACGCGGACTAGAGTTTTTTTGGAACAACTCATCATACGAAAATCAACATGACTGGGAAAGGTGGGCGGAAAAATTCCAACTGACAATTATTGCGAAAGACTCCGTAGACATCGAAGATGTAATTAACCCACCGATAAGAGATGAACTAATCTACCCTATGACAGAACCACTGGACCCATCCGAGGATCAGACCCGTCGGGCCGAAAAAGAGGAACGTCATAGAGTAGCAGTACAAAATTACAACGAAGAATTAAAAAGGAGAAGGGCGGAAGATAACGCAAAATTTAACGGACTTCAAATAGGAGATATTGACAAGAAGCTCAAATCACAGCTATACCTAGCACTCGGGAAAGAAGGACAGAAATGCTTCTCTCATAAAAATCCTGGAAAAAAAATTCTGGATATTAATTTCGCAGAATTTTGGGAACTATTAAAAACGACTTTCACGATCACTACAAACCTAACATACGAAAGATTTAAATTTTTTGGCCGAAGACAGAAAGAACATGAGTCCTTAGAAAAATTCCATGAAATTCTTTCAGAACTAGCAAAAAATTGTAAACTGGGGGAACTCGAGTCAGAACTAGTAAGAGACATTTTCATAACCAACATGAGAAATGTCGAGATCCAAAAGAAACTATGCATTGAATACTTGACCCCAGAAAACGTACTATCTTACGTATTAGTTCACGAAAAAGGTACAAAAATTCATCAACAGTATCTAAAATTTCCAACTTACAACCCAGGACCAAGATCACAATACGTGAAGAACGAACCAACATTAAACATAGTCGAAAATAACAAGTGCCGTAATTGCGGTCAGCAATTCAAAAAAGGACACCTATCCACATGCCCGGCTAGAGATAGAAACTGCAATACGTGCGGACGGAAAGGACATTTTGCTAAACACTGTAGGAGTTCAGCAAAAACTCAAACTAACATCGTCGATCAGAATCGGGTACCCCAAGAAAACGAAAATATCCGGGCCAACCCGCAGGAAAATCGCGAATTTGAGGTTAACCTAGACGACTTCTTAGTTCTAGCCATCGACACAGATAACCAAATAAATGCCGTAGAAGACAAAATAGAGCGCGGAGTGAGAACAGTATTCAATCACGAAGGATTAGAATTGAAAAAGACACTAAAAGTAGCTCTGGGAAAATTCAACCCCTACTATACCGAGATCCAAATTGACTCTGCAAGCCCAGTTTCCTTCATGAAAAAAGACCTACTACACGAACTGAAGATACGAGACAGATTTGTAAAGCTAGAACCTGTGGACGAGATAACAAAGAAAGCATACCAGGGTTTCGGGAGTACGATCAATATTATTGGAAAAATTCGAGTGAAAATCCAATCGAAAGGATGGGAGGCTAATGATCAAAAACTTTTTATCACAGA